TCCTCTACAGCCAACAACTCGACCGCTTGGAGGCAGCACTCATCCAGAAGAGGCCATCTTTGATCAACAGAGGCCAGTGTGTTCCATCAGGACATCCCCAGGCCACACGTCTTTGGTGACTCGCCAGAAGCTCCTGGAGCTCGGATGGGAGGTTCTAATGCACCCACTTTATAGTCCAGACCTGACACAAGTGATTACCATCTTTTCCTGTCCATGGCGAACGCGCTTAATGGTGAGAAGTTGGCCTCAAGAGAGGCCTGTAAAATGGCTCTCGAGTTTTTGGCAATAAGGACGCAATGTCGCGCAATTGAGTGGAACATACATTTCAACTTATATGTTTTCACACAAACAGCGCAGAGCTATACGTCACGATACAACTGGCAAATCGCTGCAGAATCGCAACAAAATCGACCCGTTTCTGAAGCGGATTGTGATTGGCGATGATGGGTCACTTATGACAACATCGAGCGCAAACGGTCGTGGTCAAAGCTCGGGGAAGCGGCCCAGATGGTGGCCAAGACCTGATTGACGGCCAGGAAGGTTTTGCTGTGTGTTTGGTGGGATGGGCAAGGAATCATCTACTGCGAGCTGCTCCCCTATGGCCAAACGCTCAATTCGGTCCTCTACAGCCAACAACTCGACCGCTTGGAGGCAGCACTCATCCAGAAGAGGCCATCTTTGATCAACAGAGGCCGAATTGTGTTCCATCAGGACATCCCCAGGCCACACACGTCTTTGGTGACTCGCCAGAAGCTCCTGGAGCTCGGATGGGAGGTTCTAATGCACCCACTTTATAGTCCAGACCTGACACCAAGTGATTACCATCTTTTCCTGTCCATGGCGAACGCGCTTAATGGTGAGAAGTTGGCCTCAAGAGAGGCCTGTAAAAATTGGCTCTCCGAGTTTTTTGGCAATAAGGACGCAATGTCGCGCAATTGAGTGGACAACATACATATTTCAACTTATATGTTTTCACACAAACATGGCCGCCACGAGCTATCAAAATCACGTCACACTATTGGTAGTCATTGTGTGTCATATTTTGTTTATAAAAAATCACGTCAACCTATTGGTAGTCATTGTGTCATATTTTGTCTATAAAAAATTGATTTACTGATAATCGGATACTCCTCAAATAGAATTCTTATGAATAAAATGCAGCCCTGGTGCCAGATTTCTCGATGGGGAGTTGTCTTCTCGCTCTATTTGTTTAAACTATAATTTTGGTTATATTATTAAAAGTTCCTATATTTATATGCAATATCAAATAAATTTCAATAGCATTGAACAAATAAGCAAAGTAATTCAAAATAACTTTAATGACGTAAAAATTTGCATTACATAATAGGGGTTTTCACACACAGCATTGTTATTTGTTATTCGTTGTTCTTTTAATTTGTTACAGCTTGTCAACTGTAAATAAACTTTTCTTCGTCAGTTGTTAATCGTTAAATTTTTTCAACACACCTGATATTGAAAGAACAGAAAAATTACCACAATTGTTCCGATTATGAATAACTATATTTCATAATATTTGCTTATAATGTTATAATTTAAAATTATACTTCTCAGCGGTCATCAGTTGAAAAATTTCATTTTTTGAGATCAGGGTGCTTTTCCCCGAGTTATCATATACGAGTACATATGTACTCGAGCACATGTAACTTCAATAAATACGGTAAAATTAAACTAAATTAAAAAGGCAATACTCTGTGTTTGATGGGATCAGAAGTATATCATGAGTTTCTAAAACCTGTTTTCAACAGTTCAGAGATAATGGTTTCGATGTGAGATATGAAGAACGTGGAAAACAACCAAAAATTTGCAGCCGAACTGCAAGCAAGATTGGACCAAGATGATGGGTGCGTTCGAGATGGCAATCACGACAGCAGTGTTGCAAATTTGTCATAGTATCACGTTCTGCGTGAATTTTAGGCAACACTTGCAACAGTATTACGTTCTGCTGTCATTTTTTGCACGCAATTTATGCAAATAATCGGCAACACTAAATTTTTATCTGCACATCAGTAGAGTATTAGCAATTTTGCAACACACGGTACTGCTGCAAGTATTATTTAGCTCGAACGCACCCGATACTTTGAGTCAAAAGCAAAATGGCAGCCATATTAAATGTTGCACAACGAACAATTTCAGACCGTTTGAAATTTATGGGAGAGTTCCAAAAGTGTGGAAAATGGGTGCCACATCAATTGAATGAAAGATTAATGGAAAACAGAAAAAACAGTTGTGAAATTTTGCTTCAAAGACACGAAAGAAAATCAGTTTTGCATCGAATTTTCATTGGCGATAAAAAAATGGATTTATTTTAATCCTAAACAGAGAAAATCATGTGCTAATCCGAGACAACCATACCTATCGACTGCAAAAATAAATCGATTCATTCGTGGTATATCATGGGCGTCTTAAACCTGGTGAAACTGTTAATACTAATCGCTATATACAACAAATGATTAATTTTAACCATGATCGAAAAACGATCAGAATAGGCCAGAAGACACGGCAAAGTTATTTGGTTACGCGACAATGCACGTGCACACAAAGGAAAATCGGTTCAGGATACAATCAAAGTACTTGGTTGGGAGCTGCTACGCCATCCGCCGTATTCACCAGACTTTGCCCCTTCCGATTACCATTTGTTTTCATCTATTCTACACGTATTGGCATGGAAGTAACAATGGCCTTACCGCGTCAAGAGGCTCTGGCGCGGGGGACCTTTGTGTTCCCTCTGACAAAGAAAAGACCTAGAAGCTCACCATGCTGAGCCAAAGGTAGTAAGAAACAGAATGAGCACTAACAAACAAAAACAACAAAATCGAAACACCGAACAACAACAACTACCATCAACACTGACAACAAAAACAGAC